GAAAATCCAGTGAAATTTTTCATGTTAAATTCACATGTTTTTCATAGGTTTTTCGGGAGATTTTGATGGCGAATTTTCATGGGTTTTTCACGGAAAAATACCATGAATATGGCATAAAAATCTCATGAAAAAAGCACGGAAATCCCCTTAATATTCAACGCTTCAGGGCCCATGAAAAAACTCTAACAAACAAAAAACCCACAAAAGTGAAGCCAACCATGTTTTTTTTCATGGTTTTTAATAATAATGAAAAAGCCATGAATTGAAAAGCTATTTTTCATGGTGTCAGAATTTACATGTATGGGGTTTTCATGGGGGTTTTTAAATTCACGCCTCATAAAAAACCACGAGTTTTCCGTGAACGGTTGAATATTAATGGTTCATGAAAAATGACATGGCTTTTGATGACATTTTCATTACCCATGAATTATGCCCCTCGCTTATTTTTCATGGGAAAGACAGAGGCATGGCCACCATGAAAATTTAGTCTTAAACTATTCTCGATTGTTAAATCAAATACATCACGGAGGATTTGTTGGCTGGTTAATTTGAAGCTATATACATGTAGCAACAACCCTAACCCTAAATAAAAGCTAACCTACTAATCTCTGGGCTTATTAAAAAAAAAAACACCTCAGTCTGCAGTCTGCATGGTCTGCGTTTTAACATGACTGCACTTTAGTATGGTGTACGACAGTGTAAATCAGGCCATTGATGACAAAAAAAGTGTCATTGCAATACAAAATTCATCTGGAATACATGTACATACAAGTAGTACTGTATCTCCCTTCCAGGCTGCAATCATGATGTTCCAAATTTCACCATTGAAAATGGACAACAAATTTCAAGGGTTCCATCCTATTTAGTTTGGACAAGCTTCAATGAAATAAAAAAAGCTTATTTTCAAGGCCAATACAGATGTTTATTTAGCTAATAGCAAATGAACAGTACAAGACAAATCATTGAAGTGAAAACTAAAGTTGTTGCGTTACAATAATCTTATCTTTGGTCACTGTTGTTGCCTCGGAGGATTTGTTGGCTGGTTAATTTGAAGCTATATACATGTAGCAACAACCCTAACTCTAAATAAAAGCTAACCGTTTTTGGAGTCAGTGCTTAACCCTAATTACTAATCTCTGGGCTTATTTAAAAAAAAAAAAACCTCAGTCTGCAGTCTGCATGGTCTGCGTTTTAACATGACTGCACTTTAGTATGGTGTACGACAGTGTAAATCAGGCCATTAATGACAAAAAAAGTGTCATTGCAATACAAAATTCATCTGGAATACATGTACATACAAGTAGTACTGTATCTCCTTTCCAGGCTGCAATCATGATGTTCCAAATTTCACCATTGAAAATGGACAACAAATTTCAAGGGTTCCATCCTATTTAGTTTGGACAAGCTTCAATGAAATAAAAAAAGCTTATTTTCAAGGCCAATACAGATGTTTATTTAGCTAATACAAGGCTGCTGCCTAACGGGCGCCCGGTCGCCAGAGGCGCCCAAGGTAAGAGCATGGGCGACCAAATTTCGGTACAAGGAGCCCGCGCGGGCGCCTGACTTAACACACGGCATTAGACTTAACCTCCTTGTACATTATATTCCTTTAGCTGGAGTAGGACTTTAAACAGTGGAACTGTTGATATGGTTAGCGATGATGCGATTAGGCAGTATAAAATTTCCACAAATAAACCGTAAATTATGTAAACCTAACGTGTTCAACTGTGAAGCTTTGTCGAAACGAACGAAGCCATCGTTTCCGAGTCCGGATGGCAGTTGAAGACTGGGTCTGAGATTTGACTTCCAAATATGGAATAGCAAAATTATGGGCTGTTTGTTGCCTATGTTGACATTCGTGCAGTTCATCGTTTGCTTGGGTTTTCGTCGATTTGATAACTTTTTTGTGGCGAGAATGGGAAGCTATCTTGCGTGCTATCGACTGGACGTGCTTGATGTTCGATTTCATGTACCAGTTTGCAACGTATCAGCATTTTCAAGAGACTTTAAAAAACAACACGCCAGAGAACGCAGTATGATATTTCATATTTGTAATGTGATGTCTTTACCTTGAATAAAGAAATTAAAGTAATGATCAACTTTGTGTTGGTTGTATTTCTGCCTTGCTGCACGTGCTTAGCGCCCTTTCCCGCTAAAATCGGCAAAGGTTCTGCTTTTCCCGCTAAAATCGGCAAAGGTTCTTCTTTTCTCGCTAGAATCGACAAAGGTTTCAGCAATTTGTCTTAAGCCCAGTGACTACAATGGAATTCTCGCAACAGGTAAGCAATGTTTATTTCTTACGACTCCGTATGTGAACATTTATATTAATATAGATAACGATTTGGAAACTGTCTCTTTCAAAACAATAAAATATATTTCCCGCTTTTAAAACACAACCGAAGATGCTGTGCCTTCATTTGACCTATATTCAATGCGGTTTTATTTAATCCGTAGTGACAACTTGACATTCTTGACCTTCTAAACGAAATAGCAGATCAGCTAGGTAGCTGTCTGTGATTGCCTCGCAAATTCATGCAAATTTTCTTTGACTAATGAAATTTGAACCGCGTTTGTTTTGAGATCAAAGATACTGTAAGCTTGATATTTCACTTATAATAAAAACGGCTTCTTTTCGCGTACAGTTTCTACAGCTTCGATACACTGATGTTGAGTTTGGTTCTGGAACATGCTCACAGAAAAGTGCAGAAAGTTTAAGACAGTAGCGCTTGAAATGTAACAAATATCATTTTCGTGACACGGCTATTTTTGTCGTGGAAGGAAATTTGATCGGGGCAGATTTTGATCACGTGCTAGGTAACCAGTTCTGACGGCTCAGATGGAGAATCTCTCTTTTCCATAACCAAACCAGGAATTTACCTTCAAGATGACCATGCAACGATGAATGTCTTGTTTATTCATTCTCATCTTAGTTGAACATTAATTATAAGGAAATTTGGCAAAGTTAAATTTTGTTGCGGGGAAAATACTCGGTTATAAGACGCACCCCGAGTTTTGAGAAAATTTTTATCGAGCAAGCACAAATTTTCGTAAACAAAGGTGCGTCTTATAAGTGAATAAATACGGTACTTCGGTCATCAATTGTTTTCTTCTGATACTGACTTGTAATTGGGCTATATTTTTATTCGCTTACAAATACAAAATCTTTCGGGGTTTGGCCGCGGGAATCTTTATTCCTTTAGTGACAGATATAAGATATTTTAAAATGAAATGCCACTTGATATCTTTTTATAGTAACGCTACACTGTGTATAACTGGTCTAGCCTCATTGAGGCCAAGGTCCTCAATAAAATATAACAAGTTTTGAACAGTTCACAGAGTGGGCCGGTTTTCTTTATATTTCAGGTTGCTGACTTAAAAACTTTGAAAGAAGCCCTGATTAGCAATAACCAAGATTTGTGTTGCAAGTTAAGGGACAAATATTCGCGAAAATTAAACCTTAACCAGTCCTTCCCGAGATCTGATAAGCTAAAACAAGACCAACTGGCACAGTCCCTTATTCCGTGTGATGCACCAACTGGCCTTATTGCTCATGAAGTCGCTGGGGATGGAAATTGCCTGTACCACGCCATTTCTCTGGCCCTTGTGGGTACAACAGAATACTCTACTTGTCTTCGTATTCTGACAGCCATTGAGCTGTTTGAAAATACTGCCTACTATGGAAACCATCCGCGATTCCGGGAAGCTCTTCAATGTGGGTGTCCCTTTGGAGAAGTCACCGTTTTCACGCTCGCACTGAAAGAAAATGGAATAGCAGAGTGGGAGCACAGTGGCAACCGTGAGTCTGCTATCCAGAGTGAGGCAATTGGGGGATGTCAGCTAGGTGAATGGTCGTCGCTGATGCACATCATGGCACTTTCCACAGTGATTTCCAGGCCTGTCTTTACAATCTATCCAAGTTGTGCAGAAGCTATTCGCCCCTCTTACATGGCTTAGTGAAACCACGTATTAACAGGCCAGACGTGTTTTCCAATAATGATTGCTTTCATATTCTGTGGTCAAGGGATGGTGGATTAGACAGCCGCCCAAATGCTATTTATGTTCCTAACCACTTTCCCCCTTTTTAAAAAGGAATATGCCGATCATGCAGTCAAAACTGCTAAAGACTACCGCAAAGTTGCTGACCAGTCCACTAAAAAGCATCCCCCGAAAAGGTCGTTTAGTTTGGAAGACTTTTGGTTTCCAACAGAATGTAAAAAAAAAAGAGAAATGAAGCAGGCATAAACAATAAAAGAATGAAAATGGGGGATGATGGGAAGACAGAAAAGAAGACAGAGGACAAAATAAAGATGAAGGAAAAAATGCTGGTGGAGGAAGAATTAAAGATTCAGGATGACATGAAGATGGAAAAGGAATTGAAGATGCAGGATGAAACGAAGATGACAGATGAATTTAAGATGCAGGACGAAACAGATATGGAAGATGAGAGAAAAATGGAGGATGAGAGGAAAATGAAGGATGATCAGGGGAAGATGGATGCAAGAAAAATGGCTGCAGAAAAGAACATGGAGGGTGAAAGAAAGGTAAAGAGTGCAATGACGATGGATGATAAAAGGAAGATTGAGGTGAATAGGAAGATAGAAGAAGATGGAAAGGATGAATCGGATAGGACAAGGGAAAATCACGCTAATGCTATGGACAAACGTAAGGAATATGAACAAAAACGGACAAGGTCATTTCAGTGGAAGTGGCTTCAAGCCCATTCTTGGTTGCGTATAAACCTTGTAAGAAAAGGCACAATGCAGCCATTCATTACTAACACACCCTACCCAAATTCACAACCTGTTGGAACAGCAGTGAAATCAATGTACTGTGGTGTTTGCTCGAAGCACCCTTCTTTAGCATCAAAGGACAGTGAAATAGCTAAGAGAAGTGGGTCAAGCAACTTCAAAAACGAAACATTAAAAAAACATGAAACAAGCCAGAACCATAAAAAATGTATTGCTGCGGACAAAGCCATAAATGATCCGAAAAAAACTGAAATGTACAAGTGCTGTAAGCAGTTATACGAAAAAGAAGACGAAAAAATGGAGAAGAAATTTAAAACAGCCTTCTACATTTCAGCATTAGAACGGCCATTAGATGACTATGAAAGTCTCTGTGCGCTTCAAAAGTTAAATGGGGTGGAGCTGGGTGAAACTTACTTAACACGATCTGCATGTACTGAATTCATTGAGCACATAAGCTCTGTTATGAAGGAGGATCTCGCAGACAAATTGAAGGAATGTAACTTTTTCTCCCTAATGATTGATGGAAGTACAGATCATGGTGTCATTGAGGAAGCCATTATGTATGTGCGCTACTTGGAAAAGTCAGTTGGAAGACCGGTCACTGCATATCTTGGAATCGAAGAACCTAAGGCTGGAACTGGAAGAGGTTATTTAGATGCGGTTGATTCCTGTTTCAAAGAGTAACCAACATGAATTCAGTCACCTGGAAGGAGAAAATTACAGGCCTGGGAACTGATGGCTGTGCGGCAATGACAGGTGAGAAGAACGGAGTGGTTGGTTTATTGAGGCAAGAAAATAGAGAATTTATGGGATTCTGGTGCGGAGCACACAAGCTTGAATTGGCAGTTGTCAAGTGCCTAGAAAAATACCCAGATTTTGTGAAAGTACGTGATGTCCTTCGCAGTTTATACCAGGAATATCACTACAGCGCCAAGGCCCTCAGGGAATTAAGAGAGTTAGCTGAAGCACTAGATAACCAGATCTCTAAGCCTACTAATGTGTTTGGAGCTAGATGGTTGCCACATCTTCAAACCGCACTCCAGGTACTGTTTCGGGGATATAAAACTCTCATGATGCATTGCCAGAACACAAGAGAGATGCGTGTAGGATCAAGTGGTAGACAGGGGCGAGCATCATTTTCGGTCAAGTTCTTAACCTCATTCAGAGGGTTGCTCTTTACCAGTTTTCTGTGGGACATTGCGGAGGAAGCAGCTCATTTAAGTAAGGTTTTTCAAGCTGAGTTTCTTACAGTTACAACCGCAGCGGCAGCAGTTCGAAAATTTGAATTACAGTGTCTTAATATGAAGTCGTTAAATGGTCCAAGACTTGAGGCGTTTTTGAAAGAAGCAGGGGATGGCAGTGTGTTCAGAGAAATTGAGATCAAAGGGAAGACAATGATATTGAACAATTTGAGAAGATCAGAAAGTCTGTTTTGGATGAAATTGGACAGAGCATGGGGAGCGATTCCATTACCTCTTTAACGACCCAGTTGTAAAGGCTTCTTCAGTTTTAGATCCAGACACGTGGCCTACAGATCCTGAAGAGTTAGCGTCTTATGGTTGTGATCAGCTCTGTGTAATCGCTAACAGGTACCAAGAGCAGTTGCAAAAAGCTGGTTTTAAAGCTGAGTCTGTCAGTAGTGAGTGGCAGGGAGTTAAGAGCCTTGTGAGTCTAATGAAGCACAAGACAACACCTGACATTTACTCTGTGTTGTTTTCTAAACAAGAAGAATTTCCTAACTTCCTTTTGATTGCCGAGATTGTGTTCACCTGGCCTTTGTCCACCGCAGCTTGTGAGCGAGGTTTCAGCTCCATGAACCGCACTAAAACTATTCAGCGTTCAAGTCTTGCAACTAGGACACTGGACAACAACTTGCGTATCTCAGTTAAGTACCACAGCCTGAACAAATCAGAGAGTCAAGGCCTTCGCTCAATCTGGGCACCTTGCCAATGCAGTCAAGCATTGGCGAGAAAACAGTGTCAGAGCCCGACGAGAGAACTGGGTGGACAAACATCCAGAGGCTAGAACCTGGAGTTCTCTTAAGGGGACAAAACCAAAAGACTGATGAACATTGCTCAATGCTGTGATTTAATTGTAAACTACACTGTGAATTCAAAGGATCTGTTTTGGACCCAAAATTGGGAGTTTTTCCTTGAGTAAAATACAGTACTATTTGAGGGGCTAATTAAGCTCTTCTAAAATGGAGCTGTTTTGGACAACTCCGAGCTGTTTTGGAGAACTTATAAGACTTAAAAAAATGATCTTTTGAATTTACAATGTAGTTACATTGACATAAAATTCTTTTATAGCACAGAATCAGATAGGAAAATGTTATTCAATTTAAATGATTCCTCAAATGTTTAGCACTTCATTTAATGAGATCCATCCAGGCTAAGGTTTACATAAGGCACTTGATGTTCTGTTCTGTTTTTCCTGTTCATGTATAAAAAAGGCAAGGAGAGGATTGGTCTACTTTAGAAAGTTTTTGGAAGACTAGTTAAGTTGTCATGTGGAACACAACTGTTACTGAACAAATGTGAAAGTCAAGTAAATAATTCTGAGTTGAAATTACCTACTGTTATGTTATTCTTTTATTGTGAAAATTGTGAAAATTCCTTTTACACGCAAATTAAGCCCCTCAAATATTTTTCCGGCTCATGAATGTGTATAAGAAAGGTAAGAAGCAGTTTAATTGTTACATTTTAGAAAATTCTTTGAAGGCTCTTCTAGGTCACATTGAACACAACAGATGTGGAAGTTAATTGAATAAATTAATAAATGAAAGTAAATAATTCGGTTAATTCTTGTTTACGTGTTATTTATTAGGCCCGGCGAATTCTTATTAAAGTGTGCAAGAACCTCTATAACCTATGTAATGATCTTGGAAAAACAATACATGGATTTCAAACTGGGCTCCTAACAATGTGGCTCGGGCTCCTAACTTTAAACTTTAGGAGCCCGAAGGGCTCCCTAAAATTTTTCTTAGGCAGCAGCCTTGCTCCAACAGAAATTTGTGAAATTCTTGCAAAGCCAGGTGTTTATGAAGACATATTCATATCGTGTAGTCACATGCTAGGCAACAAAACATTCACCCATATCATGTTCCATCATGGGAAACAAACCAAATTCAGTGATTTTGTTACCTCTGCATACTGCATCCCTGAAACGCAAAAATCCCCAAAGACGCAAAATAATTCATGGCATGCATCCCATAGGAAGCAAAGATCGATCAACAATTGATCGATCTGAACATAAGTTTCTGTAGAAATACTCTGTTTGTGTAATTACTGTGGCAGTTATTAAGGCTGTTGTTTAACGATGTATATTTCATTTAGCCTTCGTTGTACTTTAAAAGACGACTATATTTTTATTTCAGTATACTGTAATACAGAGTTTTGGAGTCTGTCTTCAGATTAACTGTCTGGTTATTTAACTGTCTGGTTACATAAAGGCCCAAGAATTTCCAATTTTGGACTTTTGTTTTTTGATTTGAGACTCAATGGTTCTGGACTAGGACTCTACGGTGGCTTAGGACTGCCATTGCAAAAAAAAAACCCTGCCTTGACAATTTCTGTGTAAATCTACCATTTATTTCCTTTTTTCTTTCTTTTTACTATTTTTTCCATTTATTTTCATTTTGTTTTATTTTTTCTGCCATTTTTTTTAAATATATTTAATATTCCTCAAAGTCAATTTAAATGAAAAGATAAATTATCATTCAAACTATAATACATGTAATAACTAAAGGTTCCATATTGGAAGTGAAGTGCTGCCCCATGTACAAAGATCAAGGGGTTGCAACAGTGGTAAATAATCAATTGTATCTCAGTTTAGGATGGATATCACATGCTCTTGCAAGGCTGTAAGTATTGCGTAACAAGACAAAGACGGCTGCGAGGGAGACCATAAAGTAAATTGATGATATATAAAAATAAGACAATATGGTCAACTTTGATCTAATAAGATCTAAGAAGGTATGTAGTCAGTATTGCCCTTGTTAACAAGTGAACTACTAACTACAAATAACATTTTAAATGCGCTAATTCCATCAGAACAGAGACCAGTTTCATAAATACATGTATGTCATATGTCTGCGCATTAAATATTGTCAAAATACGGTGTGTTCCCTTTTGTTTTCTCAAGAGAGGGAAGATCGGTAACTTTTATTTGACATTATGTAATAGTTATGTTTGTTTGCAAACTGCTTTTAGCATATGCCATGATCCCAACAGTTCCTAGAGAAGTTGAGAGGTTCAAATTGAATAGCCACAGGATCCAAAAACAAAGATACCTTTTTACCAGATGGTGTTCCAAAACATATATGCAGTTTTCCAGAGAACAACGGACTGGAAGAATGTGGTAGGCAAACATGCAAACGCAAAGAAAGTCATTTTTAAAGCTTGCCATTTGGGTAAGCTGAAGCTAGAATATACAAGCCCAAACATCATTTCAACTAGCCCCAAAAACATATTGATGAGCAGAATTGATTTCACAGTTCTTCTGTTATTTGAATTCCTCACAAAACTTCACTTGCAGACAAGTTAACTTGTCAGACAAGTTAAGAACAAAATTCACTAACCCGATAGCAAAATCAACTAGCCTCAGGCTATCGGACACTACTTTCTTTGCACGCTGATACCGCACACTGATTTTCATGATTTCAGAGTTGTTTGAATGATGGAACTGAGCTGGAAGGTCTCAAGTAACTATGACCTGCCTGAAAGAAGTATCCCTTTCAGTTTTGACAAAGATATAATTTCCATCAACAGTTCTTTCATATTTAGTGCCCAATGCAAGAAAAAGACCCTTAAACTTTTCCTAATCTCTAATGTGCATTTCAATGACAGCACATGTATTCTTGATTAGCAAACCATCATTGGCAGGAGGTAAAGCCACAACATTGAAACAGTAAAATACCTCCAAAGGGAAGGTCCATAACAAAGAAATAGTCCATGCCCCATCCTGTGATCAGGCGGTCCTTCTTCCCTTTTGTTAGGGCGTTCTTTTTTTTCCCTCCCCCTCTCCCCTCCCCACCAAAAAAAAAATTCGTAGTCACAGGTTACCCATGGCTGGAAAGCACATGTTTTTTGCTACATTTTCTCAGCACTGTCTTGTGCCAATAATCCACACTCCTTGCCACCATCCTCATACGTTGAGCTAAATGAAATTTAAAAGCTCTTTCACTACTAAAAGTACACTTTATTTTTGTCTTGAGCGACAAGCAAAAAAAATTAAAGTGACAATAGAGCTGCATCTGTAATCTATTATTACTAACATAATAATGTTTTGCTAAATTTTTGTTCAGCATTTGCACGAAACATCTTATTTAAATTTCACCTGAGTTATTCAGTGCTTTGGAAGTTTATTTGGTGCACTCATTTGGCTTTTAGACTTGACTACGTGATTACGATAACAGACGAGTGACTTTCATCCTTGGCGATCTTACAAATATATATTAACTGTAGAGAATTCTCCAAACCCTTCGAGTGTATGAAATAACATTCCCGAGAAGAAACGCAAAACTCTTTGTTGTGCCCTGATTAAAAGATGAATTCTTACCAGTCGCAAAGTCTTGTACACGAACTCTTGCAATCAGTTCTTGTTTTGCAAAAAGATGCTTTCCAAAATAGGGATTTTTCTCACTTAAAATGTCAGCTTAACTGAAAAAAAAAATTGACACAGCT